AGCAATTCAAAGGTAGATCCTGCCATTTGCCTGGGTAGCCAATATTCACACTGAGCAAGTCGGCGGTATTGCAATTGTCCTCGTTGGCGCAATGGCGACAGTATTGTGCGTTTGTGACGTCGCATTGGAATTCTGAGCTGCAGCCACGATAAACGTAACCATTGACCAACTTGACGGCACAAAATTCGTCAGCATTGTAGATTGGACATACCGAAGCGGCCGCGGGAGAGCTTTCACAGGTAGCATCATCCTTGGAGTTGCAGCGATGACAACTGCGACGACCGGCGGGGAAAATCTGGAAATCAAAATAAAAGTTTTTTAAAGAGAGTTTTTTTTATTAATGTGTTATGCTTATCACGCCGTAAATCTTCTTTTTAGTTAAAAGTTAAAGTGCTGGAATTGAAAATTACTCCTAAAATTTTGATGTTTGTCTAAAGAAAGCCTTAGGGCCGAATTCACAGTGCTTGGTTAAACCATTGTTAACTTAACCACCAACAAGAGTTTAATTATGAATTTATATTCAGAGTCACATAGTTAACTATGAAAATTCGTATCGCCTGAAAATATACAAATTCTTAAAATCAATACTTTTCTATTCAAATTTGAAATTCGTTCCACAAAAAAAAATTATTTCACAAGAGTTTAACCATGATAAAAATATAGTAAGGTAGAACCGCTGAGAGTCACTTTTAAAATCCTTGACGTTTCCAAACATTTTATTTTTTAAATTTACTCACAAACTCACACACACATTTTCATTTTCAATCTCAAGCAACAACAATTTCAAACAATTTCAATTTTTTATTTTCACTTTTATATGATTTTAAAATGTTGACAAACTTCAAAAAAAAATCATGGCCGACAAATTGAGAGAACGGTTCTACCTTGCTATGTTTTTATCATGAGTTTAACTATGGGGGCATGCTGGTTTAAACTTTTGTTAACTGAGCGTTGTGAATATGAAAATCAATAGCTAAACTCTTATCAGTGGTTAACTACGCACTGTGAATTTGGCCCTTACAGTAATAAACATTATAAGTCATAGTCTATACAATGCGAGATTGCTCATATTGATTTCAGATATTTCATATATTTGTCCAGTTTTTGAGTTATCAAAAATTTGTATCCAATATTAATGACCAAAAGTTTATGGTCAGTTTTTTAAATTACAAGAAAATTACGTCCTGTTTTATAGAAAAGGATACAAATTAAGGCCAGTTTTTGAATGACAGAAAATTAATAACTAGTTTTTACATTGGTAAAAATTATGTCCAGTTTTTTGAATTTTAAAAATTGGATACCCGTTTTTAATGATCAATGGTTTATAGGCAGATTTTAAATAACCAAAGGGTTATTTCATATCCTTAAATGTATACCTACTTTTGAAGTTATTATACACTTACATATGTCCAGTTTTTGAATTACCAAAAATTTATGTCCAGCTTTCAAATGCCCAAAAATTTATATACAATTTTCAATTAGCAAAGGTTTATTGCTAGTTTTTTTAGTGACCAAAAAATATATCCAGTTTTTCGGTAAACCTAAAAGTTAAGTTACTTTTTTAGTGACCAAATTTTTATGGTCAGTTTTTAAATTACCGGAAACGCATTTCCAGTTTTTAATAACCAAAAATTTATGTTCAGTTTCAAACGAACACATGTATATGACCAGTTTTTAAATGGCCCACAATTTATGTTAATTTCTGCATTACTAAAAATATGTATGCCCAGTTATTGAATTATCCAAAATGTATATCCAGTTTTAAATGGCCAATTTCCAGTTGTTAAACAACCAAAAATTTATATCCAATTTTAAATGATCAAATGTTTATGGCCAATGGTTTATTGCCAGTTTTTAAATTACCAATTTTTTATGTCCATCTTTTGAATTATCAAGCGATTAATTATATCCAGATGCTACTTACAAGTGTTTATCTATTTTCGGACTCGTTGACACCGAATATGGGGTCTTTTTCACGCCATGGCGTCAAGTTGTCGACAAACCTCAAAAAATTCCTGAAGTCTTCATAAAAAAATTAACTCTACTCAATCAGATTTTGGCCAAAAATTTCCTGTTAAAAGACTTTCCACTTGTGCCTTGGGCAATCATGGTTAGGTCAACCAACTGAGCCGGTGATGTGAAACGATCTAGTTATCCGGTTTCAACGCTTCCAGACTTGTCTAATAATCCTATCGCCAGGCCGAAACGAATTTGTTTCCTTGGCTGTGTTTTTAAATAATCTTCATACCTCGCTATTGCACAAATCGCTCGTGCACGTTTGACAGCTGGTCGAGTTTCCACTTAGACAATTAACCAGCACAGTCTGGCTGAGTGTATTTGCGCAGCCACGTCGAGTGGTGCCATCTAGAAAGACGGAGCAAAGAAGAGTTTCACTTTAAATTGATGTTCCATACTTAGTTGTAGTCTTCGTTCTCCAACGCTCTATACCTGAAAGCAAGCGCGTGTAGCATTCGACATGCGGCAGTGCGGCACATCTTGTCACTGTCGGTGCGCTCGACGGGTCGTTGGCACAAGTCTCATCATCTTCCGAATCGCATTGGACGCATGATGTGGGCGTGGGGAAGTTTTCAAATCCATTGCAATTGTCTCCTTCACTGCACAATAACAACAATTTTATATTCGCCTGCACGTATGCATCATCTAATTCGCTCAGACAACCCATACGCTTGACATCACTTTCACTATCGAACAATACAAAGCACTGATCGTCTGCCTTGAATGCGCGACATTCAGCTGTATCGGGTATTATGCAATCTTCACCCTCACAAATGTAGCACGAGCGTCGAGGCGTTGATACCGGCAATTTCGCTGTATTGCATGCCGCGCCCTGGCATGCCACACATATATCACTACCAGCTTGGCATACGACCTGATCTTCAGCATCCTTGTCATCCAGACAACTTCTCGTCAACTCATAGACATCCGAATTTTCGCTTCTGGGACGTAGCGCCGTCATACAGTGCTGATTGCACTGACGACGTGTGGCGACAGCTTCTGTATTGGATACACAGTTAGCATTGGTTTCGGAATCACAGTAGATACAATCGATGTAGTCCGCGAGTGAGACGGCTGTGTTACAGTCATTCGAGTTGCAGTTATGACATTGAGTAGAATTTGCATCACAGTATGCGCCCAACTCGGCGTCCACATCGGTGCTGCAGCCACGCTTCACGACATCGCCCTGCTCACCGAACACCGTCATACAATAGTCACTCGTTTCGGAACATGTGAGGTTGCGTGCGTTGCCAGCGCAGTCACTTTGGCTGTCACAGACTTTGCAACTTAGTGGCAACGGTTGCCAGATGCCAGGCTTACCGTCATTTTTTCGCTTGAGATTGCTTGTGTTGCAATCGCTGTCCTGGCAGGTCTGGCAAGTGCCCGAAGCGCAAGAAACTTGCGAACTACAACCGCGTATGGTATTTTCGTTTTCGTCCAAAGTAGCTACACACTGCTCAGAAGAGCTGTACTTCAAGCAAATACCAGAAGCTGCTGGGGTATTATCGCAGGTGGCTGTGGCGGTGGAGTTGCATTGATGGCAAGACAGACGATTTGCGGGATATATCTGTGGAAAAGGGAAAAGAAGTTTTAAGCTGAGCTCTTACGAAAACTTTATAGTCCAGGGTGTAACTTTGAAAACGCGACCTACCTCCTTGTTGCAATTTGCGCCAACGCAGGCCAAACATTTTGTCGAATTTGTGCTCAAAAGACATTCATAGAAGTCCTCTCCCTCTATGCTGGACAAACAACCGCGTTCCGTGTGACCACCTAATGAGAAAAATAGAAAAAACTAATTTCTTTCCCCAATTTTATTAACCTTCTACTACTTACTGTCCAACAGACGTGAATAGCATTGCGTGTAGGGCAACTTTGCACATGTCGTAGCCGACGTAACCTCGCTGGGCGCAATTGCGCAGGCTGAATCCGTTGCCGAACTACAAATAGCGCATGCCTGCGAGCTGGGTGAAGCATCGATAGTGTTACAATTTTCTCCATCGCAGACCCACAAACGTTGCGTCACTATCAGCTGCTTCACTTCAGCCGGATCATACTTGCTCTGGCATCCCAATTCCACAATCGAACCCGTCTCATCGTACTGCACGAAACAGCGATCGTTCTCGCTGACCGCCCGACAAGTTTTTGGCTGTGGATCCTGGCATTCATCGTCCACACACTGATAACACGAGATGCGCGTACCCACATCATCCGTGTTGCACGATTCGCTACTACACGCCTTACAACTTGCATCATTGCCAGCGGCACATATCTCCCGATCGTCCAAGTCCATGTCGTCTAGGCAAGTGCGTATAAGTTCGCGCACCGGTGACGCGTCATCCGTACGATTGTACAAAGCTGTTATGCAGCTCGTATAGCATTTACGAGTTCGTCTAATACCGTTGACATTTGTCAGACATGTCTCATCCTCTTGCGCATCACAGAAAATACAATCGATGTAGTCCGCTTCCGACGTAGCCAAATTACAGCCGTTCGATTTGCAACCGTAACAGCTGTTGCTATCATCAGCGCATGCTTCTTCCTGCGCATCACTGCAGCCACGCGCAATCACCAAGCCGCTTGTGCTGTTAAACACCGTTGTACAGGTTTGTAGATTATTATTCTCGCATTTTCTGATCTTGCCCAAACTCTCACTGCATTCCTCAGTACCGTTGCAGTGGTAACAGTTGAGTGGCAGATCTTGGAAGTAGCCAGGATTACCAATCGCGACGTCCACAAACTCATAGTCATTGCAATTATTATCCTCGCACGTGCGACATGTCCTTGAATTGGAGTTTGCGTCACATTGAATTTCAGTGGCACAACCGCGAGAGACAACGCCGTCGACGAGCTTGCTTACGCAATAATCGTCTTCATCAAATATGGGGCATACCGATTGGGCCTGAGGTTCGCTTGCGCAAGTAGAATCAGCGGTAGAGTTACAGCGGTGACAGCGTTGACGACTACTGGGAAAGACGTTGCTGTTGCAGTCGCTGGCCGAGCAGATGCGGCAGAATTCGCCCGGGGTGCCTTCGTTGCAGGAGAGGAACTGCGTATTATTCAGCGTGCTGACGCAACCGCGAATGGTGTGACCATCTACGAAAAGGGATTAGTTGCATGAATGAAATAATGAAATTTTATTGGAATATATAGTGATTGTAAAAGCGTGAACATAGATAAGTAAGATATTCTAACTACCAAAGGCCAAACTGATCAATTGTAATGTGTTTATTCACAAGTCTGCTAAACTGACTTGAAGATAAAAGTCTTACTTTTTCTTAGCGAAATTTCGACCAGATTTTCAATTATAGTACTTATGTATGTATGTATGTATGTCTTAAAAAATAAATTTGTCCCTAAACATCCCTTTACTTCCAAAGGGTTGCTTAGCCTGCGGAATATATATTTTTTTTATTCTAAAGGCTATGCCGTACTCCGGCAACCCGGTTGGAATGCAACTCCACATCGAACCAACCAAAGCTGGTTCTACTTGCCACCACGAATATTCCCCGAGGGACCGTACCCGAGAACAGTCCAGAGTAAATATAGAATACTCTGGGGGCTCCTGTTCCCATACAACCTTGAAAAAGCGCGGTTATTGGAGCTTTAAGCATTTCCACGCGAGATGGCGTTCATTCGCCATTTGGTTTCTGAATATGCAACATGTACGTCCGATTTTTCGCTGGCAATTATCCCTCAACTGTTCCTCTAAGCTATCGCAGTAATCCTCCACTATCAAGAATAAATTCGGAGAGTTGTTTTTTTTTGTTCGGTAAAGAGTTTGTGATTTACTGTATGTATCTTAAGAGAAAGGAGGCTACATATAAGTAGTGTATTCCTAGGGATACTTTTGTTAGCATAAGTTATGATCTAATAGAAGGTGACATTCGATTACGGCTTCTGGATAGACGTTGTCAAAGGCTACTTTTATGTGTGAATTCTCTAAATGCAAGCTCTCTTTCATCTAAGTAACTATAAACACTACTTCAAGGTATACGGCGGTAATAGCCTCACCGTGCTAGCATTGCGAAATACTTTATGTCGGTAGATGGTGGCGTATTTCGGTGCTAGCCTACTTCGGGTTGCATCTGAGTTTCAAGCAGGCCGGCAACTGGGGGCACTCTCAAGAAGGAGTTATATTACCGCTACTCTGGTTGGTGGCACTGAATGGCCTTCTACTAGAACTAAACGGAAGAGAAGTAGAGCGAGTCTGTGATGGAATTGAATATTTTTAGCAATAAATCAAAAAGTAACTAAGCGATTCCCACATTATCCTCTAAAGTAAAATATTTGGGTGTATTATTTGACACCAAACTTAGGTGGAAGAAATACTTATGTAGTGGGGTTATCCAGTAGAAATCGGAAACTAAAGATATATTCTTCAACGTATCGATGGCCTCAGAGTGCAGAAAATATACTATCGCAATTTATTTTGAAGTATGGTCTATGTCAATAAGCCCGAGATGATTTGAGATGTCAATAACGGGATCATAAATGAAATACAGCCCGAACTATGCCAAACAACCATGGGGGTCATTACCTTTTGGTTGGGCAGGGGTCTCTAGCAGAACAAGCTTAATTGTTGTCTTTCACAAAGTCCTTTAAATATGTAAATCTTCAACTAGATACTTTTCTTTACTGAACACACCCGAGTTTCAGGGGTTTCTACTAGTCTTAATAAATTGTCAGTTTAATTTCTTATAAAATTTACCTTTAGGTTTTTGCATCTTAAGCATACATCGAAATTTTGTTTTAGAGAATCAATGTTAAATAATTGCAGAAACGATTAACCGACTTGCTGTGCAACCGAGACGTCTGCTTCTTAAAAAATGTTTGTAAAGAGAATCGGCAAGTACATATCGTTACCCGCAAGCTAGAAACGTGAATGTGTAAAAATTAAAATTTTGTGAAATCAAGTTTGAATTGTTTTACCTAGACTTAACTCTGCAGTCATGTAATTGACATTGTGAGATATGTGGTTTCCATGTATGTGGTTCTCAGTTTTGGTATAACATAGGAACCATTTAGTTTACATGTATGCATGTATGTATTAGTAAGGATTAATCAATCAACTACATACACTAAAATTTTGAAATAAAATTTTCGAGGGATTTTTTTTATATATCAGCCTCCCCCTAAATTCGATCCTGGCGACGCCCATGCGAAAAGCCATGGCACCCTGTGTTGCCAGAGGAATCGTGGTGGGCATTTAATAATCAACTCATAACTGATATTAAATTAATGCGCACACTATAAATATATAAGTCTTAGTTCCACACCGCCCTTTACTCACAACAATTATCACAATAACAGTCAGGATTTTAGGGCAGTGGTCTCTTGTCGAACCGGCAACTAAAATGGATTCGATACGCATATCCTCTACTGTTTCACCAACAACGTGTGTGGTCAGTACCGTTGCGAATCATGCACACCTGTGACCTTGAAGTTTCATCATCTTTTCGCAGAGGAGCTGGGGGTGTTTCAAAGGGAAGTCACTTTCCCTCTACGTCGAAAAGTCAGTTCAACCTATTCGATATCCATCTTGGCGTATTCCATTAGCCACCAAAGACCTTGTCGAAGCTGAATTGGGCCGCCTATGTTCGCAAGGTAGTCTGGATCCAGTTGAGAAGACAGACTGGGCCACAACAATTGAGCGACGGGACAATACGCATTTGTGGCGATTGTAAGGCGACGCTTAACAAAGCACTGAAACTACACAACTTCCAGATACCAGCCAGCTATCAACACTTTATTTTCGTCTACAGAGGGAGGTAGCATATTTTTCCAAAATAGATCTCGCGGAAGCATAACAGCAATTGCAAGTCGACGAACAATCATCTTTGTTGCAGACAATCCTCCCTCACAAAGGCGCCTTCAGAGTTACCAGGCTTCAAGTTGGAATCTCTTCAGCGCCAGGTATATTTCAAAATTGTTTGGAAACAGTTTTAACAAATATATTAGGGGTGCTGCCGTGTAATGACGATGGGAATGGGAAAAACAGAGGCTGAGCTCGCTGTTCGGTTGCAAGAGGTATTTAGTCGTTTCAACACCACTGGTCTTCGACTAAAAAAGGATAAGTGTTCGTTTGGATCATCGAATTCCTGGGATTCCAGCTAGACTCATTGGCAAATCGGCCATCGCAAAGTAAAGTCAAGGCCATACAAAATGCTCCAGCGCAACTCAACTTTTTACCGAACAAAGCTACAATCGCCGAGCCATTACATCGCCTACTTGATAAGAACTCTCATTAGTTGTGAAAAAAGAAACAACAACAGGCGTTCGAAAATATTAAGCAGCTCTTAGTATCCGAACGTCTTCTGGTAGACTGTATACTAATTTAATTTAAATTTAATACGATCCAGCTCCAGTAGGTGTGCGGTTGATAGGCTGATTGTTTTTGTGAAAATAAATTTTGTCGCACCGTGTGCTTATTCTCACTACAAGTACTGAACCCAAACTCCAACTTGAGGTTGGCACGAATTAGCGTCATTCGACTTCAATAAAACTTTATACATGAAACGTTTCATGCCAAGTGAGCGACCACGATGCCCCAAATTCAGAATTTTGCGCAAAGTCTTTCAGACAGATAGACAGACAAAAATTCTAAAAATTGTTAATATGGTATCTGTTGAATTTCTCAGAAAAAAATATCTCCTTATATTCTGGTACACCCTAATATTAGATTAGATTAAACTACATCACCAAAAAAGTTGCGGTTTTCCGCAGGGATTACAAGACTTATTATATTTTATGACGTCCACCAAAATATTTCGGAAAAGTATTAGGATTTAAGCGGGTTGAACCGATTTGAAAATACCTACAAAAATGCAGTTTTTTATGAATGAGCTGGACAAGAACAAGAAGGCAAAAACATGCATTTTCAAAGGGTTGAGTGTAACATCCAGCGCATTTTGCACCGTGCAAGGGCAACATTTTTTGGTAGAAACGAAATCACCATTAAAGAAGTTTTTAAAAAAAGTTCCCTCAGATGACAAAATGGATTAAATTTAAAAAATCTGCATACAAATATTTAAAAATCTTTTCAACGGAATCGTAATAATCAGATTTTTGATGATTTTTTTTACCTTTTTCAAAGATTTACGAAAAACTTAAATACTTGGGCCAAAACTATTCTGATTTAGACTTATGGGATCTCGATATAAAGGTATTTTTCCTCTATTTTTATTTATGGGCAAAAAAGTCATTCGTGTCGCAATTTTTTTTATTTTTTTTTTCAAATACAAACTCTTCTTAATTCAACTTTGAATGATGTTCGTTCATCCTACCTTTCTCTTTCATCCTTGGAATGATCTTATTAGTAAAGAAATAAAAGGAGTGAGAAAATACCTTTCCAATGATACTTCACAAGTCTGAATCGGAAGAGTTTAGGTTCAGTTATTCATGTTTTTCTTATACCAATCTTTGAAAAAAGTTAAAAAAAAACAGCATCAAAAATCTCATTATTACGATTCCGTTCAAAATTTTTTTTTAATATTTTTATTATAATTTTTTAAGCTTAAACCGTTTTGTCATTTGAGGAGATTTTTTCAAAAAATATCTTTATGAAACTATTTTTATTCATAAAAAAACTCCATTTTTGGAGGTATTTTCAAATCGGTCCAGCTCTCTTAAATCTTTTTATTGTTCCGAAATATTTTGGTGGACGTCTAAAAATATAATAAATTTTATAACTCCAATGGAAAAATATTACCGATTTTTATTTATTTTTTTTTTTGTATATGGGGAGTGATGCTGTCTAATGTACATACATACATAGATGCCAAGCAAAATTTTAAACAAGTTTAAATTTTAAGTACGTAATATGTAGCAAGTAAATATTATAGTATTGCTTACCTTCATTGATGCGCGTGAAACAGTCTGTGTGTGGATTGATTTGACATCTCGTTTGCGCTGTGATCGCCGTAGGGTTGATGGCACAATTCGCATCTACCGATGAATCGCACACATAACATATGTTCGCGTCTGGTAAATTGCTATACGTGTTACAATCGTCGCCATCGCAGAGGAAATAGTGAATGATATCGTTGTAAATTGCATCCGCTGATACACTGCTCCTGCAGCCCATACGTACAGCGCTATGTGTTTCTGGATCAAAATATATGTAACACTGATCACGCGCCGAATAGCCGCTGCATGTGATCGACACAGGCTCATCACAATCGTTGCCATCGCAATGCAGGCACGACAAACGTCCGTCGGCAGGCACTGCCGCCGTATTACACCTATCGCCTTCGGTGCATCTAACACAATTGTTTGCCTCATTACATGTTGCACGATCATCAAATTCCAGATCCTCGAAACAGGTGCGCGCCAAATCGAACACTTGTGGATTGGATTTGCGTTCATACAATGCTGTCACACAACCTTCGACGCATGCGCGTGTAGTTGTAATCGCGCTGGCATTCGCCAAACAGTCAGCATTGGTGGCTTCATCACAGTACAGGCACTGTTGTGTTGCTTTCACTTCGGTGATATTGTTGCAACCATTCGATTTGCAATTGAAGCATAGCTCTGGATTTGCAGCGCAATGTGATTCGTAATCAGCGGCGACAGCTGTTTCACAGCCACGTGCCACAACTACACTGCTTTCGTTGAATACTGTCACACAATCCTGATAAATGTCACCTTCGCATTTGCGCAAACGTTGACTGTACACCAAGCAATCCTCTCCCGAACAACTATTACAGTTCAATGGCAAATCTTGAAAGATGCCATACAATTCTTCTGATCTTCTTTGCACATTCGCCTGATTGCAGCCGGTGCCGCTGCACACTTGGCAATTTCTAGCGGTGGCATCGCAACTGAACTCACTAGAGCAGCCGCGACGCGTTACACCCGATTCATAGACCGACACACAAGCATCGTTTGCAACATAGATGGGACATATGGCGAGCGCTGATGGTGCTCTGCTGCAATTACTGTCTGTTAGAGAATCGCAACGTTGACATTGAGTACGATTGGCGGGAATGATCTGAGGATATGAGTGAAGAAAGGAAATTCGAAAATGGCAATGAAATGAAATGTAAATGCAAGTTGTTTGTCGAAAAATGTAACGCGACTTTGATGTGAAACATGTTGGCTAACGAACTTTATCTACAAATGTTTATCTACAAGTGTTTATCTACAAATGTTTATCTACAAATGTTTATCTAAAAATGTTTATCTAAAAATGTTTGTCTACAAATGTTCATCAAAAAATATTTTTACAAATGTTTACCAAAAAATGATTATCTAAAAATGTGTGTCTACAAATGTTTATCTAAAGATGTTTATCTAAAAATGTTTATCTACAAATGAGGATATATAGATTTTTTGTTCTTTGGTAACACAGCTTACCTCGCGTTGAGTTCCTAACACGTTAACCAAAACTAATCATAACTGTAGTTTAAGTAAGACTCAATTGAGATAAAAGAAAAATTACTGCTGTGCAATAATGGGCCTTATGAATAAAAACTAAGCAATTGTTTTTCTTAAAGTTTCAGTCCTTTACTTAAATTTTTTAGAATAAATCGAGTAAAAGGTCTGAAATTTTAAGAATAATCGGTTTCTTATTTTCTATTCATAAGGCCCAAAAACCTTTTCATCTAAAACCCAATTATTAAGTGATTTAAAAACTGGATTGATTTTTGTTTAATATTTTAAAACAAAACTCATATTTCTTATAATTTAAAAACTGGACGCATTTTTTTTTGGTTAAAAAATGGTACATATATTTTTGGTAATATAAAAATTTGATAAATCTTTGGCAATTTTAAACCCTGCCTTTTTGTGGTCTAAAAACTGAACATAATTTTTAGTAATTTCATGGACATAGTTTTTGGTAATATAAACTCTGTGCGTATTTTTTTGTCAAATACTTTTTTGTTAGTTAAAGACTAACCGCAAATTTATGCTTAAGTTTTTAATTAATGGTAATATAAAAATTGTATATAGGTTTTTGGCAATTTAAGGCCTAGCTGCCCACTTCGGGTAATCTAAGAATTGGAAATAAATGTTTGGTAATTTGAAAACTTATGATGCGTTTTCAGTTTATTAAGACTTAACATAAATTTGTACTCATACAAACACTGAACGGAGCTTTTGGTACTAAAAAAAACTGGACATAGTTTTGGGCAAACAAAAAACTGGACAGAAATTTTTCCTGTGCGCATTTTTTGGTAAACTATTTTTTTTTTTTTTTGTTAATTAAAGACTGAGTACAGATTTATGGTTATTTATTTTAAAAACTGATCATAAGCGTTAAGTAATCTAAATAGCGAGCAAAATTTTTTTAGAATCACAAAACTGGCTATAATTATTTATTTATTTTTTTTTTATTAAAAAGAATGTTTGCGCTAACAAACTGGACATACATTTTTAATTGAAAAAAAAGCTAGATATAATTTTTTGGTAATATATAAATTGGGCATATTTTTAGGCAATTAAATAACTGCCGAAAATAAAAAAGTTTCACATCAAAATAATCAAATATACATATAAGAAAATATTCATAATAGGTACGGGTTTGCAGAAGAAAAACTTTCTACTCACCTCTACATTGCAGCCACTATCCTCGCATAGATTGCAGAGCGCATCCTCCCCGGTCACGCAATTATAAAAATCATCGCCTTCCAATTCGAAGAGGCAGCCACGTTCGGTCGTCCCATTATTGGCAAGACTAACACGCTCATAGCAATTCGTGTACGGCACGTTGTTGCAACGCACCGAACGACCCGCTAAGCGCGGTTGTGTAGCACACCTGGCATCCTCCGTTGAATTGCATTCAGTGCAATCATTTGGTTGTGCCAAATTCTCATATCCATTACAATTCGACGTCGAACATACATAAATTCTCTTGTTTCGAATCAACTCGGCAATTCGCGTTGCATTGCCTAACTCTGAGCTGCAACCCATGCCAATGAAATCATAGTTTGAGTCGAGGCGTATGTAGCACTGCTCATTTTCATTGATATCAGGACACTGGACTACCGCTGGGTCATCACAGTCTTCACCATCACATTGATAGCACTCGGTGGCAGAGGCAGCAACTGAAATTTTTTTATAATTTTTTCTTTTAGTAAATGTGGCGTTGACAGAAAAGTAATATATCGTAGAAACTTAAAAATGGTGTGCGAGTACTTAGTCATGAAGCCGGCAATTCCATCATTTCAAGGCTAAGAAGTGCGATTAAGATTAAGTGTAGCGGATATATTTTAATTTTTTTTTATTGCAACTTTTTCAATTTAATTTTCGTTTAATTTTTATATTGTTTTAAAGCGAAGAAAGATCTTCATTTAGTTTTTTCTTTTTTAAAAAAGTTTTAATTTGATTTTTGGATTTTTTTGTTTGAAAAAGAAAATTATATTTTTCTTATTTCAGTTAACTTTTGGAAATTATTACTATATATTTTTATACCCGAGCGCACTTGTGCACAAGGGTATTATAACTTAGTTCACATAACGGTTGTTTTTAACAACCAAAACGAATCGAGATAGATATAGATCAGAATGAAAACAAACGTCGATTAAGCCATGTCTGACTGTCCGTCCGTACGTCCGTATGTCCGTGCACACGATGACTCGATCAAATTGATATATCTCAACGAAATTTGGTATGTAGATTGCCCTTTACCCGAGGTAGGTTGGTATTGAAATTGGACGGTAACCACGCCCACTTTCCATATTACGGGTGTTTTCCGTCCGTTTTTTTTTCACTCCAAAGTGATATTTACAATGATTTTGAAACGAAAAATAGGAGTATTATAAATTTTTGGAAAATGGGCATACCCACGCCCACTTATGATTACACTGAAAATTTTTAAAATCGGACAATAACCACGCCTACATCTCATATAACTGTAATTTAGAGATATACGAAGTATTCTATAAATCAATAAATACCGAAAACTAATTTATTTAAAATTGCCAAACTCGGTATGATTATTGTGCTCGCCACAAATCGGTGAAAATTATTGAAATCGGACTTAAACTACGGCCACAACAACGGAAATGCTTGAAACTTCAATATTTCGAAATTTAAGACGCTAATTTACTCAAATTTGATACACATATATAAACAAATAAAGCATATATTTAAATCTTGCGCGTGGTATCTAATGTTCGGCTCCGCACAAACTTAGACATTTTTACTTGTTTTTTATTTCATTTAATTTTTTGGACCTTTTTTATTTAGTTTTTTTGTTTTTAACTTACATTTTCTTTTAATTTTTTAATTTTGTTTTAAAACTGAAAATATTTTTTTTCTTTTATTTAATGTTTAAGTACTATTTTCTTCTTTTTTGATTTAACATTTTATTTTTCTAGTGTAATTGTTACGTTTAATTAAAAAAAAAATTCTATTATTTATTTTAGCTTTATTTTCATTTATTTTTAATTCAAATTTCTTTTATTTATTACTTTTTCTCCTTTAAAAAAAATGTTTATGTTTTTTGAATTTAATTTAATTTTTAAAAAACTTATTGCAAAAAGTCGAACATCACAACGCTAAAACTTATCGTTAGCAACTAGTCTTTAGAAGTACAATAAAGAGTTTTCAAGATAGTTGCCAGAATTGACAATTGTCTTACGAAAGACTTTTGTCTTTCGAATAACTGTGGTGAGTTGAAGGACAATTGTCTGAATTGTGTATGGAATGGATTTATAATCACAAAAATTTTTTCATTTCTTAGGTCCGTACTTAGATTTATACATAGGTATGCCACTTTAAAACTGAGACCAAAAAATTTTAGCAATCGCACGATGATTGGTTAAACATTTAAATTTGAACACATTTGCCTTGAAAATCATTTTCATTTTCATTTTTTCGATCACAAGATCGGGTAATCAAATTACGCAAAATTTTGGGAAAATTCTTAATCGACTGAACCATCTTTTATAACATAAACTATAAGCTGATTTCAAAATTGAAGTTTTTACCAAATTAAAAATTATGTAAAATACAAAAATTTAATTTTCCAATTACTTCAAAACCATTTCAGTTATGAAAAGTGTTTTTTTCCAAAATTTCGTTGTGATCAGAGATTTATGTATTTCACTAAAATCACTCATACGCCACGTCACCTGTTGCTTCCCTTGCTATCATTTATAGTCTTACAAAAACGTTTAATAGGTGCAACCGAGAAAATATACGACGAAATACTTGTAAAACAACAACACATTTTGTTTATTTATCCGAGTTCAGCCAGGTCGGTTAAAAAATACGCGACCTGAAGGATAGTGTTGTAAAGTGTGAAAACTGCTCTATTGTGAATTGTTAATGGGAAAGTGGAGAGAGAAATTTTTATTTACTTATATACATGATTTATATTTTAAATAAGTATATACATTACGCAAATACCTCGAATAATTACTCATTTCCATTTGTTTTTGTATTTAAATCCCGTAAAACTATCCACATGTTTCTTGCCAGATACAAATAGGGTAGCTAAAAGGAAATTTTACCCGAGTTGAGCGTTCTTTTGTCGCTCGTTTACAAAAAAATGCATCATCGGTAAATAAATACTATTTTTTTTCCTGGTTTACATAATCAATATGGGATCACTTTTATTTGAATTTACCAGGTCGCGTAAAGGCATACATGTAATTTTCCCGCATTTTTTTTTTTTGTTCTGCATACAGTAAAATTTATGTTGCCAAACCTTCGACAAATATTTATTGGCGCTATTAAAATTTATGGCGCAATTCAACTTAACTAACTGTTCTATCGTAAATTTTTTACTTGCCTTATCAGCAGAGTTGTTATATCTCTGAGCGGTTGCATAACAATTAGGCTGTTAATATTTTGTGTATTCGCACATTCTTTCAGCAGAAAATTCTCAACAGCAAAATTCTAGTGAATTTGTATGTGCGCTCTCGCGAGTGCAGAAATGTATGCAAAAGTACGCGAACGCTAAACTCGCCAAAAAATGCAAATTTCACAACAGCTGTTCGTAGTTAAGTTAAATATCGACCGCCTAATTGCAAGTTGCTCCCCTTTCTTTCCATGAATTCACTTTTTTTGTGGCTCGGGCGAGTTTCATTATATCGTTTAGTAAGAAATGGATACGCATAGTTTTTCCCTATTTTATTTTGGCCTCCAACACCAAATTTCTATTTTGCGCAGTACGTTGGTTACAATGAGCTATTTGCTTGCTCGAGAATTGCTGCTAGCAATAACTTTTCCAGCAGAAACTCGAAGCTTCTCAACAAAATCAAATGCCATTTTGCGCTCTCAATTTCCCCTACATTGCTGGATATTTGTGTACACTAACAGTAAAAGCTGATAATTTTACATAGTTTATCAAAAAACGATCAATAAGCAGACCCGACAGCCTTGGCCTTGCCTAAAATTACTTATGGCGTTTTCGTTTCTACAAAAAATTTTGCCTTCTCATCGCCCTCTTAGTGTTTGTGCGTATAGGGCCAAAAGGAGGTCGCATTTTTCCATAGAAACGAGTTCGGCTGTGGAATAACTTTTACGATTTAATATGTTATTTTGTATGTTAAATGTTATGCATAATAAATAAAAAGTGTTTTATTGGGAGCCGGAGCGGAGCTAAGATCGGAGCTCGAAGCGAAATAAAATACCAGAGCAGAGCGACGAAAAAAAAACCCTTGCTCCGAAGCCCTGAGAAAAACTCAACAAATTTTCACCAAAATTTCGAGCTTTGTAATCCGAATTCATACATAGACCATCAACAAAACAATATTATTAAAAATCAAGCTAGCTAAACTGACCGCAAGTCCAATTTTCTTATTGAGACATATACATATGTATGTATGGTTTTTACTTTTGTTTGAGACTTTTCCCTTGGAAGTGCCTTTTTCCACCTCTAAATGAGCTTCGAGCTTCAACTCGTGCTGGACTTCTAAAATGAGCGAAAATGTTTTTTTTTTATTGGAAAACGAACAGTACAAACCCCAAATCCGGGATGCTGTATGATTTGGTACTATTGCCAATCCATTTGTATTTTATTTTGCTTGTTTCTAAAAAGTTAACAAACAAATTTTAACTTGAAAAAGATTGTGAATATTGTTAAAAAATCACCATGTGAACGCTAGTTTGAGTCACTGTATGTGTGTGTGTTCTCAAAAATTGTTGTTGTTGTTGTTGCCTTCGCATACAAATTTGTTGCTTCTTTTATTTTTATTTTGGTACAAGTAGACACAAGTTAAATGCCGTTTTCTCAAGTAGCTTTTAAAATTTAGCTGTCCTTCAAAATTTTTTTTTTTACCAAATTTAAATTTTAAAAAATATATGCTTTAGAAAACGGTCCTTAAAACTATTCTTCTCGAGTTTTTTATTTCCTATAATGCGGTCACTCTTTCACTAAACTTGCGACAATCAACTCAAAATTTGTTCTTTCACTTAAAAATCGCAAATCTGCCAGATATGGCAGATTTTTTATACCGAGTCCTTATAAGTGAGAAACTAACGTAATTTCGTTGAGGGGCTTATTATTAATCCAGTGTCTTCTCTGAGTTTTTTTTCGTTTTTACAAAACTAGTGCTCACTGTATAATTTAAAAAAAAAGAGCAAAGCTTTTAAAAATATTCTGATTTTACTTCATAAACTCATTTTTTTGTAGTTTTAATCCTTAATCGCACTTCCGCGGGCACTTCATTGCTTGCAGCTTTTTTATTATCAATTTATCATTTATTTTAAATCCAAGTAATGGCATACATCCTACCAATTTCACTGTTGGCACAATAAAGCACTAAACCTATTAGAAGGTAGCCAATTTTTATATTCCGGGGCAACATCTTGCCCATTAGTCGACGCACGTTTTTAGCGCGTTTGAAAATTTTCGGCCAACTAATTTGGCCATTCTGTTGGTCAGTGGCTTTTATAGATTCGCTCTAATCTAGTTGCCGGCATTGATATCAGTCTAACACAGAAGGTGTAAGTAGTTTTTTTTTTTTTTTATTGCTCTACGAACATAACGATAACTCTTTAACAACGTACAAAAAAAAAAATCGATATTTATTAGCCATGATGTCAATTGACGCTGGCACAAAATTTACTACAACAACAAAGATTAGGCAATAAAATGGAAAATATAATAATTAGCAATGAGATTAGTAGTTGTTAGTTATTTCGCATTAAAGCCCAATAACTTTGTACGGAAAGTTTATAGCTATACGCACATATGTATGTACGTATACATGCATATACATACGTACGTTAAGGTGGACACCATCTAAAAATGCGATGTTGTTCGAAAAATTATATTTTTAAGAATTCGATGCCATATCTACGAAAACTTGTTTTGTCCCGTATAAAATACATGGAAAATTTTAGAACTTTGAGCGAGTTCAAAAAAAAAATATAAAAAACGGAGGTAAAGTTTTTTCGATAAAGAACAATTTTAGGAGGGGAGAGCATTTAAATTCCGGCTTTACTTTTACACATACATTTTTTTTTGGACCACCCTAATGTACATATGTATGTATGTATGAGAAAGTGCAATCTTATAAAGTTATAACAACAATTGCCCAATCTAATCGCAATTCACCAATTCACTGTATATATTTCTTACTAATATATTACCGATATGTGTGTACGTTTATAGATATAACCCGATTTTGACTTTGGTATGTGAATTATAGAAATAAGACGCTTATCTGTAGATATATTGCGCTTATCCGCATTCTCAGCAGTCGCTTACGAAAAATGTAATAAAATATCTTTTATGTATGTAAACAAAGTGCACTTTTATGAAATGCAATTAAACATTGTGGCAATGCCACTGGGTGAAGTTCAAAGTGTTATCTCCATTATGAAATGCCATCTATTGATAACATTTCTGGCTATAGCCATCATCACTGCGTCTATCAAGATATAGCGTATAAGAGTCAATTCTACATTTATCAATTCTGTTTAATCGATGAGTTTCATTGCTTTAACAAAAAAAAATAATAAGCCCAACAAAATAATCAGCCGCTATCCGTCGCTATTTGTCGTCATTAAATGCATATGTACATATGAGTACCAAGTAGTGTCTATCAATAAAGAGAGTTGTCATTCAATACAACATCAAAAGAAAATCCAAGAGGTTTGCACAGTGTATCTGGTGTGCTTTGGTCTTTTCATGGCGAGGATGCCTTAATTTTTCTTGGGCAACGTCGAGTTATTTTTTTAACGGCCTTTGAAGTTTTCAGGCTTAAATTATTTTATTGTTTAGTTTTAATTACTTTTAATTACCTTTAAGTCTATGAAGGATTTTATTTAGTGAACATTTTTTTCATATGTGGAAGAAAGTATTATTTCAAAACTTTTCAATAAGCCTAATGCTGAATTTCCACTAGCCATTAAATGACAACTTTTTAATGACAATTTTGGGCATTAAAAAATATCCGTGCCATAATGTTCATGAAAAAAGTCATTTGTCTGTTTCCGCATGGCATAGCATACATTTTGTTGTCATTGAAATGCCTAGTGGAAATTCGGCATAAGTAATAAAAATAGATACAAATTTACAGATTTTATAAGCATTTTATATCTATATATATTAGGGTGCTTTTTTGCAACTATTTTTTTTTTGTAGGAAATACCTTAAAAAAATGCCCTCATTACCACTTAATATTTATATTAAATGATCGACCAAGGCATGTTGAAATTTCCCGCTTAAAATACACTTAAATTTGAGTTTGGTCTTCAAAATTCTATAGCACAGAGGCATTATACCATAAATCTTGGTCAATGATAGGCTTTCATTAGAATTGAATGCTCTACAAAAGTGTTCATAGCGGCGTAATCCTTACTACTATCAGCACCAAATTTTTCATGAAATTCTCGTTTTTTGTCCTATCTCGCAAATAACAAAAGCTACGGAAAAAAATTGAATGACAAATTTGTAGCAAATTAAATTTTTTACAAAAATTTTTAGAACACCATATCGCTAACATCCATATTCGGCTTTGAAGTTGAGGTAGTGTGAAATTTGCATGAATTATTGAGCTAAATTGTAGAAATTGTTGTTCAACTTCAAAGTCAATATCTCAAGAAATATCGATGCTAGTGATTTGGTGTTCCGGATTTTTTTTTTGTAGAAAATTGAATTTGCTACAAGTTTGTCATTAAAAATTTTTTCTGCAGCTCTTGTTATTTACGAGATAGGGGCAAAAAACGAGAACTCCTGAAAATATTGGGTTTAGTGACCCGTACTACCTCGCTGGTGGGAGTTAGGGTTACGCCTTAATGGACACTTTTTTAGAGCAGTCAACTCGGAAGAAACCCTATCATTGTCCAAGATTACACAGTAAAATGTCTCTGAGTTTTAGAATTTTGAAGAAAAAAATCAAAGTTTACGTGTATTTTAAACGGGAAATCTTTGCACGCCTTGCTCGACCACTTACAACAACAATATTAAAGGCTAAAATTTTCAGTGAATTTTTTTTTAGGTATTTCCCACAAAATTTCGAGATGAAAGTGAAAAAAATATGGTCACGAAATGGGTAATTTTTTTCGTACCTATATATAACATAAATAAGTGCCACCCTAAACCTTTAAAGCTCGATAAACTAAAAAAATAATAATTGACGTGGTCAAAGAAAATTGAGGAGGCGAAAACACACCAGATATATGTACTTAATTGGATTTCTTAAATGCTCAAAATTTATAGTACAGTGTAATCTAGGAGTCAAACGTATTAGTCATGGGGATTTTTGAAGAGTTAAATTGTACTTACGCTTGTGCTAAGAAAGTTATTATCATTTTGCATACTTAAATACAATGCACTGAGAAAATTAATTTAGTTAGTTAGATTGAAAGGTATTGATAAGAGTATAAGTATTTTGTCTGCAAATGAGTCAAATACAAAATGACTCATACTTAAATCAAATCTTATTCTTATTTGGCCCTACAACTGTTTGGTCAGCTGGGTTGAGGAGAGAAAAAAAACGGCACTTGCTTCTCTGCGTTGCGAAATTTGCACGAAGGTTAGGTAGGTGCTTCTGCACTTGATCTATATATTATATTCGTGGGCGCACTTGCTTTCGTTGTCCACCCATGTTGTGGGATTTGTCTGCATCGGTCATGCACACGTGAGCTCAACGGAGCCACTTTGCTTTCACGTACAAGACGTGAAGCTGCCGAGCTTCTGCGGCGCTAGCAGGCCGTCAGTTTGCCTTATGGTGTGACCAGATGATCACAAAAAATTAAGCTGAATTGACTTAAAAAGAGGTAAGAAAAAATCAGAGGCAGATATTTTAAGCGGACAAATGTAACAGCAACTATACAAATTCAAGTGAACTGTATTCATTAAATTAATATTATTTTTTTTCGCTCAAAACTTCACAGGCCTTTTTTTGATATCTTAAAGCACTCGACGCACTAACAATTTAAGTCTGCTCCATACACACCGCGACACACATGCTTCAATTCTTCCTTTATTTTATTTTTTTAAACCTTCTCATCTGCCTCCGAATAGCAGAGCTGTTGAAAGATCTTTTAATACAGCTTCCAAAGGTAAGGTCTGGCCTAAAAACGCTGCTTAAAAGTGCTGATTAATAAGAGCTGCTAATTTATTCCAATGGTTTTATAACAGAAGTAAGAGTTTACCATTGCAATTAAATTAATCTTTTATCTAGGATTTTTAGATCTTCAAAAAAATCAAGCCATTAGCGATGAAAGTCGATGGATAAATAAACAAGTTGACCATCAAGCAATGAAACTGTTCAATAATTTTTTGTATGGATAGGAGCGGGAAATAATGTTACTTACATGCCAAATCGTACATGTTCGTTTTCGTACGTACTCCAACATGGCGTATGAGTAACATTTTCCATGTTAAAGCTTGAATTTTTTTTCATTCGCAATTCAAACTTAAAATTAAAATCTGATCTAGAAAAATTGGTGTACAGATCCGCATTCTACGACCCAAAATTAAGTTCACATGTATCTGCGTTTTTTGTGCCTTTTTAGCGTCCCTACAGTGTTATTGGTAAAAAAAATGTCAGTAACGGTTCGTCAGACCCTGAAATTAAGCGCACACAATTTTCGATTTCCTTAATTTTTCGATTCTCAGCTTCTTTTTGCATAATTTTGCGAAAATAATTTTTTGAACGATGGTAAAACAGGTAGTACCGATAAACGAATTTAAACATATATATTATCAGATACGAATAAAACTTAGCTTCTAAATTAACTAATAATTATACGTAACCGGGCGATTGTGACCATCCTTTAGATTAAAATTTTTCTGGTCAAAACTAATATAGAACTCCACTTTTATTACAAATCTTAGCACGTTTAATACCTTTTTCCGCAGCTTATATGTGGATCATCCACTCTTGATCGTCCACATTTCTGCGCCGTATAAAAAAGCGGGACTAATGCAACATTTCGGGAGCTTGATAGTTTTTTTTTCGTCAAGACAGGGTTCAACTTTTCAATTGCCTAATGAGCCCAAATGTATCTGCTGGCAGAAGTAATCCTTCGTTTGATCTCCAGGCTGACATCAATGACAGTGTTAATGCTAAGCAGGTAGTCAAAGTCATTCACTATTTCAAATTTTTCGCCATGACTTTAACAGTAAAAAAATGTATAAAAAGATGTACCCATTTCAGGCTTAATAAATACAGACAGTCATTTAGATTGCATTGATATGAAAAAAATATTTGTTAAATTACGTGAGATGTACACTTTTCGTAATTGAGTATTCAATTCGTGTTCAACTTCATTGGCCCTCGCCAAAAGCGGCCTTAAAATCGACAAAAAAAATTATTTGTTTAGGTGCTTATTATTATTTGCTTACCTAAGA